AAAACAAAAGCATTGAAAGATTAACTACATTTTGAAATGTTTTTATATAAATGATGTAAAATTCTTTGGAAGTCAAAACACATGAACTAATCTCATCACGTGAAACTTTAAAAAACATTTATCAATGTTTGGGTTGTGCTGACATTTAAAAGAAACCTGAAAATATTTTTTGATAGATCCTTTAAAACTTATTTGATAATATTTTCTTACGCCTTCAGTGCAGAAGTTACTGTATCAGTGTGGAGTTTTGCTGCGTTGCTGTTTTGGTTGTTAAGAATGCCGTAATCCACACTTGGATTGTTAGTTTGAAGTTCTCATGCAGAGAGAGAGGATGAAATGAAATGGGAAAAGTGCCAACAACTTTCATTTGCTACCCTTGACAATGTGCCTCTTGTAATTTTGTAATAGGAATAAGCAATAATTGGGTTTTTTAATATAATGTAGTAGAGATGAAGTATAACATTGCCTTCACTCTATGAAAATGTAAGTTTGTATTTGTTGCTACTGTAATTTGTTTACTTAACTACAATAAAATTATTTATTCAAGGTTGAATGTATTTAAAATTATTTTTTTTTTGTATTTTTCCTTCATTATCAGTTTAGTAACAGAAACCTGTAAAGGATCAGTTCATTTTTCTGACTTGATGGTGGAAACTTTCCTGGAAGTGCAGGAATTATTTCATCTTTGTTTGTTGTGTGGTGGTGGTGGCGGCTTTGGGTTTTCCAAAATACTGCAGTGGAAGTATGAGCCAGTGAGAGAGAGAGAGTGCCATTTCTTTCAATAGCTTCTTCGGTATTGTTATTAGAGTGTAGCAATTGGCAACTGAGTAAAGGCGTTGCATACGGTGACATTGTCATTGATACAACTTTTCTCTCCAGAAGCTGCATTTTTGATTTTTCCATCCGGTGCGTCAGTATAAGGATTGCACTGCGCTTGCTTGGGGAGTTTGTTCAGACTTCTTTGAGGAAAACGGTGTCCCTATTAGAAGTAACAGAAGCTATTTCTGCTGTCCGTCTCCTGCAGGATTAATTTGGGAGAAGTAACTGTGCCTGAGCCAGCTTTGCCAAACGCAAGGTTGGCCAACATTGACCGGGGTGTGTGTGTATCTCTCCTCTAACGGTTGGAAAGAGCTCACTCTCAGCAGCCTGGAGTCTCCATCCCCGCCTGGGGCTGTCTGCTTCAGGGAGACTTTACCCGCTGTCGGGGGGCAGGGAGGGCGGTTTGTACAGACGGGGGAGGCCTTGGAGGGCAGAGAAAAGGGTAACAGCAGGAGGAAAAGCGATGGTTGTCTACTGGTTTGTGGGCTCCCTTTCCCCCTGCAGCTCTTGGCATGAGAGTTAATGTCCTGTCCTTGCAGCACCCTCTCCTAAAAGAACGGTTATCGGGTTACCCTCGGTTTTAACAGTTTTAGCTTTTTAAAAGTGTCATCAGCTCCAGTGCCTTAAAGCAATGATGTAGTGAGGCTCCTGAAGGCTGCGTGGAGGTGTAGTGGGCGCTGCACCTTCAGCCTCCCTCTGGCCTGCTGCGGGTGGCCGGGACTCCCCCCC